GAAGGTGTACTGTTGGCCTTGAGAGTTGAAGGCACACTGCTTCTGGTGTTCCTTCAAAACCAGAATCTAGAAAAACGCATTGGCTAGATCAATAGTTGCATACCAGATACCAGGAGATGTGTTAATTTGCCCAAGCAATGAAAACACCTCTGGAACAGCAGTTGCAATTGGAGTCACCACTGGGTTAAGTTTACTATAATTCACTGTCATTCTCCAAGATCCATCTGCTTTTTGCACAGGCCAAATAGGCAAGTTGAATGGAGATGTGGTGGGAATTACTACCCCTTCATCCTTCAAGTCCTTGATTTTTGCAGTAATCTCTGCAATACCCCAGGAATGTAGTATTGCTTTTGGATTACTATTTTCCTTGGTAGAGGCAGTTCTGATGGCTTCCACTTGGCTTTTCCTACCATAATAGCCCTTACTCCACATGTCAGGGATCCAATGTGGGGGTCTGCCAATTGCTGAGTATGTCTATTCCAATTATGCATTCTGGAACTGGGAAAATCACTACAGGATGGGTTTGAGGACCCACTGGACCCACTGTGAGACAGATCTGAAGTAAGACTCCATTAATAACCTGACTTCCATACACCTCCACATCTCGTGAGCCACAGTGATGTTTTGGGTCTCCTGGAATTAGTGTCAGTTCAGAGCCAGTGTCCAGTAATCCCTGAAAAGTCTGATTATTTCATCTTCCCCAATGAACAGTCACTCTCCTAAAAGGCTGCAGATCCCTCGGGGGAAGGCTAGGAGAAAGATTAGAAGTATAAATTTTTGGCTGTGCAGGCAGGTTCTTCCTCAAGGGGATCTAACCCCTCTTCAATCGAGGGGTTGTGGGTCTGTAAATTGGCTCAAGTTTGGGAATTGATTGAGGGGTCATGAATCTCTATTGTCACGATTTGAATTAGACTACTGTTCACTTGACCTAGAATTCCCCCACTTGTACAGATTAAGTAAATATTTAGTAGATTTCCCATCTATTTCAGTCCTAGTGACATCAAGACTAACTAGGCAATGCAATAAGTCATACGAGTCAGACTATTCTGATTAATCCTTTGACTCTGTTGTCCATTACGATAACCAAGCCCACCTCATCTTTGTCAGTTAAGTGCTGGCACTTTGCCCCATAACCACAGGATCCAATCAGCCCCACTGTACTTAAATGTCTTAATTCAGTTAAGGTAGTTCCCATTGTAAAATCTGACTTCCATAAAATAGCAATCACAGCAGTCTTCAAGGATGCTGGGGCTCCTTTCACATATTTATTCCTCACCATTATGGCAAAAGATATGTCCTCTGGGCACTGCATGGGTGGGTCTGTGGGTCCAACCTGATAAATCCACTCAGCATGCCAATTTCCCTAAGACTTTGGATACCTTCTTCTACTGTATACCAAAGCAAATCTGGTGCTTCAGCTTGATTTAGTGTAGGTTACCACATAATCCATGCTTCAGTGAACCAACCAAATAAGGATCTAATGAGCCTTTCCTCACCTCTGGAGCTGAAACACTGAATGAAGAATCTGTACCTGGTGGGCCCAAATCAGTAAACTCAGACTGGTCCAGTTTTATGTTTCTTGCACCATTATCCCACACCCACACATATTCCCCCAATTTCTGCTTGTATGTATTAGAAAAATCAAGCAGTTCTTTCAGAATGTAGCATACCTCCTCCTGAGTCACACTTTGTACTTCACCTCTTGAGGCTCAGTGGGATAAGTCTGGTTATGCGTCTAGAAGCAAATATGGGTGGTGGGGTTGGGTCCTGGGGACATTCAGCAATGTCTTGTAAGGCATCTGCCTCAGGTGATGCCCTATGCAATGCCTCAGGCATCATCCCAGGCAATATCTCAGACAAAAACTCTTCAGGCACAGCCAGGTTAATCTCATCAGATGGTGGTGGAAGGCATAATGGTTTTACTGGGGAAAGTGGCTTAGCAGACAAAGATAAAGTAATCTCTTCAGATGGAAGTAAGAGGGCTGGTTCTGTTGGCAGGCGTGATTCAATGGAATTTAGGGGCTCAATGTCCCCAGCTTCCTGATTTTCTGCCCATATGTTTCCATCCCAAGTTTCAGGATCCCATTTCTTCCCAATTAATGCCCTCACTTCAGACATCATTCCAGGTTGGGAATTCAATTGGCATTGTAATTCAGCCACTCTTATGATAAAACTCTGGGTTTGGTTTTCAGCAATATCAGCTCTGCTACTACAAAAAATTAGGCTTTTTTTAGCTTGTGATAGGGAACCCAAGGTTGAGAAGGGACAGTGTTGACATGTCGTGGGGTTGTTAACCATTGTCATAGGGCAATATGTGTACTAACTAATGAGAAACTATTTGTTCTGCAAACCTTCATCTAAGGTACAAAAAAAAAGAAATATCTATGTGCGATCAAATTGACAACAGCAACTCAAAAGATCTGATGGGAAGCCTAGGGGGCAGTGAGTTGAAGATAATGGTGATGGAATAATTTGGAAAAGGATAGTGAGAATAGCAGCACAACTGGAAGAATGTAATCGATGTCACTGAATTGTACATGTAGAAACTTTTGAAATGGTGCAAATTTAGCTATGTATATTTTCACCAAAAAAAAAAGGGGGGTCCTCCAAGGTCGAGAAGGGAGAGTGTTGACATGTCATGGGGTTGTTACCAGTGTCATAAAACAATAGGTGTACTGACTGTTTAATGAGAAACTATTTGTTCTGTAAACCTTCATCTAAAGTACAATAAAATATATACACACACACACACACACACACACACACATATATATAAAATAAGCCTTTTTTTCAGGGCACAAGTGGCAATTTTCAGCTCTTTTATGCAGCTCTTGAGCTGTGACTCTGAATTTTTGAGCTCATCCCTTTCTTTCACCACTTTGTCTAGCAAAGATAGAACCAACCAACAAGCTTCCTTGTACTTCTCATTCTAACAAAATTGTAGAAAAGTATCAAACATGCCATCACCCAGAGCCTTGTCTCTCACAAATATTTGATCCATTGGTGGTGATATTTTGCATGTTTTCATTGTCATCTTAAGCCATGAACTAGCAGTGCCCTCTTTACTGCTAGAGGCAGAGTCATCAGCCCTTTTAAGACTAGCCAGACTTGGGAAACAATTCAGAATGACTCTCAGTACCAAATGTCTTAAGTTGAGTTCTCTAGATGAGTGAAACCAGTGAAGTGTACATATATAAATATATAGAGACAGAGATTTATTTCAAGGGAACAGCCTATGAAGTTGTAGAGGCTGGCAAGTCCCAAATCCATAGGTCAGCCGTGAGGCTGGAGGCTTCTCCTGACTCGCGTGGTTGCAGGGGCTGATTAACCCAAAATCGGCAGGTCAGATGGTAGGCTGCTGGTTCATGGGGCTGCGGGAGCTGGTAAATCCCCAAATCTGCAGACTCAAGTCTCAAGAACCGGAGGTTCAAGGATGATGATTCAGATGCAGGATCAACAGAGGGTGAGCTTTGCCAGAACATCTATGTATATTGGATGCAGGTCACACCCCCAAGAAAATTCCCCTTGTATCAGATTACAAAATGGAAGATAATTACATAATACTGAGAATCATGGCCAAGCCAAAGTGACACATAACATTCACCATCACAACTGGTTTGTGCCCTTTGTGATTAATTACTGATTTATTTCTACCCAATCTTATTCTACAAAAGATTCAAGGAATCTTATAAGAATATATACAGTAAAGTCCATTAGCAGATGATCAGATAAACACAATGTGGTCTGTCCATACAATGGAATATAACTCATGGGTAAAGAGAAATGAAGTCTTGATACATGCTACATGGGTGAACCTTGAAAATGTCATGCTGAGTGAAATAAGTCAGACACAAAAGGACAAATGTTGTAACATCCCACTTATATAAAATATCTAGAATAGGCAAATGCACAGAGACCAGAGTAGATTAGTGGTTACCAGAGGCTGGGGGGAAGAGAGAATGGGAGTTATTGCCCAAGTGGTACTGAGCTTCTGTTTGGTGTGATGAAAAACTTTTGGAAATAGATAGTGGTGATGGTTGCACAACATGGTGAAAGTAATTAATGTCACTTCAAAATGGTTAAGATGGCAAACTTTTTGTTATATATATATATATAAATAACATATATATTTAATAATAAGACTAAATTTTTAAAAAAGAATACATACAGTAAAGCAAATAAACAAAAACCTCAGGACCAGAGTAAGCACAAATCCAAATAAAAGATGAGGACCAATGGGTAGCAAGAATGCAGACACACAGCTGTAAGTCCTATACAGTCATAAGTCCTACACAGTTGTTGAAACCAAGCTGCAGAAATAGCGGTAGACTTCCTGCCAAAGCTGAGGGAGTCAACCTGCTGGAAGACAAATGACCCTCCAACAAGGACATGAATGTTGAATTTCTGCAAGTCCTGTGTAATAAGTACATTGATATTTCCTCAGGCTTTTCTTCTCGTGCATAAATTGAGCTAGCTTGTTAATACCTTCTACATGCATAAAACCAGCTCCTAAAAAATTCTGATGACATTCTAATCTCAGTAGAGGTGAGCATCTACTTTGTATTTGTACATAGTGTTGTTCTTTGGAATCAGAGAGTAGGCCAAGAGCAGGAGGCAGCTCAGGATAGAAAAAAACCTCAGGCTTTAGGTCCAGAGACGCAGGACAGAATCACATTCCACCATTTATATATATTGGATGTAGGCCACACCCCCAAGGAAACTCCCTTTACATCAGATCACAAAATTGAGGATAATTACATGGCCTTGGGTGAGTTAGCCTCTGAGACTCGGTCTTCCTGTCTGTATAAAAGAGGGCACTACTTCCTCTGATCTCAGAGAATTGTTGAAAGGACTAAATGAGATAGTCTGTGTACAGGTACCAGCACCTACTGACAAGAGCTAAGGTTTATGGAGTACCTGATATTTGTCAGGCCCTGGTCTCAGGGTTTTGCTTGTGTGGCTCAAATTATCTCACTGGAACCACATGATGACCTTAGGAACCAATACTATTATTATCCCAATACACAGATCAGGAACCTGAGGTTTCCCAGCTAGGAGCTGGCAGAGCCAGGGAGCAAACACAGCTGGTCTGACCTCGGAGTTCACCCCCTTAGCCAAAACACTATCCTGCTCCTCACATGGTTTGTGCAACAAATAGCAGGTTCTTTCTTGTTCCCCTCTCTAAGGCTTGTACAAACACCTCTTTAGCAAAAGACCTGAGACCAACCTTTCAAATGGGTTCCTTCCGTAGATTATTTGGTCCCATGGTTCTGGGCATTAGAGGAGCAATTCTTCTTCTTCTAGGAAAAGCAAAAGGCATTTGGGGAAGGATTAGAACTTTTCCCATCAGTCCCTAACTTACATGAGAACACTTGAAGAGTAAATAATTTGCTACTGTGTAGAAAATGTTCTTCAAAAGTGGCTCTTGAAGGCTACATAGTGGACAACTCTTAGACCTATCTGCAGACTTCGGTCCTCACTGCCTTCAAAGTCCAGTTCAAGGTCATCCCCACCTCTCCCCATAGATTCTCCTCTCACCCTTGCCACCACTACTCTTCCTTTTCAGTTAGATCTGGGGCCAAGGAGCTCAATACCTAGCTATACTCAATTTTTATACATGTGTGTTTTGTGCACACTCACTTCAACATTTACTGTGTGCTTTCTAAGCACCAGAGTCAGGACTGATACGGGGCTGTAAGAGTCCGAAGCATGAACTGCTTCTTCCAAAAGCTTTTAAATCTAGTAGATAAAGTTATTGAGTGTCACATAAAATGTAAGTGCCACAAGAGAGATTCAAGAAGACAGAGAAAGGATTTCTAGTTTGGGGATTGAGAAACAATATCTTCAAGGAGGTGGCATTTAAAACAGACCTTGGAGAATAACCAGGATTTGGGCTGATATGGAGGGAGTATAGAGATAAGACTGGAAATCTGCAGCAGGCCTTGATTGCTTGGTGTATTTTGGGCAGTGCTTGAAGATCTGTTGATCAGGGAGTAATTGATCAGAGCTTTAATTAGGGAAATAATGATTTGATGGATTAGGGAAGAAATAAATGGAGGTTGAATATCAGCTTGTAGATTATTTTATTAGTTCAATAAATGAGAAGAAGGGCTGAGATAAGGCAGTAGTGTGGGGAATGAGAAGGAAGGGAGCTTATTAGTTCTGGGAGAAAAGAAACCATGTCATATATATTCTTTTTCCTTCCCTCCCAGCCCCAAAGCATTTATTAAGTCTATAGTAGATACTTGCTGAATTCTAATAGATTTTCACTTTGGGGATGCTTCTCCCCACCCCAGGTTGAGAGCTGTTTCTGACGGAAGATAGATTATGTGTGGATGGTTTGGAAACCAAAGAAAGGCTGAGAACCACTGCCTATCATCTTGAACATAGTACAGAAGACAGAGAGCTTCAGCACCTTAATTTCTAAGAAGAAAAAACCTTCTTAAGTTTAGTGGCTGGTTATAGGCAAGCTTAGTAGTTAAGAGAGAGCAAGTGCTTTCAACTGTTTTATGACAGTTAAAAGAGATAAATAAAAAGGATGTTGTTGTTAGCTGCTGTCAGGTTGGCCCCCAATGCATGGCGACCCCTTGCACGATAGAACAAAATGCTGCAAAAGACTTTTAAAATATAATTAAGTTTAAATGGTAAACAGCTTTGGATAAAAGTTAAATTTTCAATGTAAAGTTAAATTCTGATTTTATGGAATATCTCAGAACCAAGATTATCCAAAAAATAAATCTTCTGGAGAAACTGAGTCTCAATATTTCATTGTAAAATAAAACATATTAAGTTTGAATATTGGCTTTCAGAAAGACCAGAAATGTAAGGTACAAGAACAGTTCTGGAAACATCACTCAGACTCCCTTTGCCCAGCAGCCAATCACTGGGCTGGGTGTTGTGAGGCTCTGCTCTAGGATTGAGAGCCAGCCTGCCTGGGCTGCATGCTGGCTCTGTCACTGGGCAAGTTCTTAACCCCTCGTCCTCTGTTCCCTCATCTGTGTAATGGCACAGACAGTGCCTATTTCTTATGACTGGTATGAGGATTAAATGTGTTAATTTGTGTAGAGAAATTAAAACAGTGTCTGGCATATATAAACCACAAAACCCATTGCCGTCTAATCAATTCCAACTCATATAAACCCTATAGGACAGAGTAGAACCGCCCCATAGGGTTTCCAAGGCTCTAATCTTTAGGGAAGCAGACTGCCACATCTTTCTCCTGTGGAGCAGCTGGTGGGTTCGAACCGCCGACCTTTCAGTTAGCAGCCAAGCACTTAACCACTGCGCCACGAAGGCTGCTATATCATTACAACTTTAATGATAACAAACTAGATTTATAGAATGGAATTTTTTTTAAAAAAAAAGGTAAAACAAAAATCCTCACTATTCTTGAACTATCTGTTCACCTCGGGTAACAGCAGTTGGATGGAATAAACAAAAAGGTAATTTTTGTTATATGGTTTTTAAAATATTTTTAAACTTCTAAAAAATTTATAATGTCATTAATTATCTGCTGTGGTTTCTATATTGTCCTACCCTGTCAAAGTGTATTTGGACACCAATAAGCTTGGATAAAAATACATTGGTGGAAAATTGGCTCAAAATAAGTTGGTAACCCTAATAAGCAGTTTATGTAGTCTGGGTGAGGTAGCAACTAGGTAATAAGTCTATTTTTACCTGACATCAGTACCAATTATCACAGAAGGTATATTCAGCCCACAAATAAAACTTAGTACTGATGCTAAATTTAGAATTAAAGTTAATTTCAATAACAACTGGATGTGGAAAAAATGAGTACCTGAGCCTAGTCATTCCAAGGTTTGTTGGTCAGTGAAAAAGTTCCACACCAAAGCACTGGGTGGCAAGGAGCAAAGGTGGAAGCAATCAGAATCTACTGAACACCTTCTGTGCCAGGGGCATGAGGGCAACCATCTGAACTTATGCTCACATCAGACCTGCCCCAAGGAGGCCTGAGGAAAGGCAGGAAGTATCAATTGCTGATCACCTCCACATTAATCCTGCCCAGCTGAACATCCTAAATATTTAATAAAGTTATTTGAATGTTACACATCTGTTTCCATGTTATTAATACAATCCATGATTATTTGGATGGAGACACAGAGGAGAAGCCAGACAGAAGACTGGAATAATTCAGGTAAGGGATATCTTGGTCCAGGATGGTTGTGGGGATGGAGAGGATTGGACAGATCCCAGAGGTAATTAGGGGACATAATGTACAGAACTTGGAGATAAGTATGAGATGGGGGAGGTGCTGAGGGAGAGGGAGGAAACAAAGATGGTGCCCTGGATCTGATTTAGGCTCCCAGGGACATTCTCCCTGGGAAAGAATTGTCTAGGATGAGGTGCAGTGGCGGAGACGAGTCTGGTTTAGGACTGAGAAGATCTAAGTGGAAATATCTAGTACATAGTTGTATATATGGATCAGAAGCTTAGGAAAGTAATCTGTGCCAAAGAGACAGATGAGGGAGTCAGAATACAAATGGCAGTTATAGCAGTGAGAGTGGACAGAGATTTAGTTGTGTGAAGTTATTCCACAGCACGAGCTTAATTATTCTCAACAAATACTTTAGTTGTCTTTTTTCAGCCTCCTCTAAGAGCCTCCTTCACATATACTTAGATGAGTATCTGGAAAGCTGAGTGTTAGAGTTAAAATTTTGGAGCCCAGATAAGCATAGAATTCAGAATTCTGAATTCCATTTTAAGCAAGCATAAGTACATTAGCATATATTCTCTGAAACTTTCTATGTGAACATATCCTAGGCTGTGTGTGTGTGTGTGTGTGTGTGTGTGTGTGTGTGTATGTGTGTGTGCAGTACAATGGTGTAATTCATTTCATAATGGATACAATGATTTAGTAATAAATTTAATATTTAAACAGTTATGCTGTAAATAATACTCTGTTGAACAATATAAGTAGCATTTATTTTTTTAAAAAAATACAAAATGCTCTAAAAATGCATTTTAAGCAATTCAATACTAGCACAAGATTTGAAGGCTGGGAGAAAAGGAATTAGAAAGAACTTTATCTATCTATGTCTCTAGCATGTGGTCGCCGAAAGACCTATGCCAACTTGACAAGAAGAGGAAAAATGACAAGACGTGGTCACCTGTGCACTGAGTCTGGAGTGCAGCTTGTGTTCTGACAACCAAGGGTGCTTCAGAGCTTCACTCGCACTTATCCTCCAACTAAAGGAAAAAGCAGAAAGGTGTTAGTGGGCATACCCAGTGAGGCCTCTGCCTTTGGGAAGCCAGAGAGCTGAATGCCAAATCATTATCAATTCCACTCTCTCTGCATTGTCATTATTCGTGATTGTGTGAGCCTCATATCTAATCAAGGTGACAACCTAGGAAATTGTAAGTAAGACATATAACTTAAACTTTTTGTTAATTATGAACATCTGCTTTCACACAGAAGTAACCATTCTTGATGTAACCTCTGAGCTTCATAAACTGATCTTCTATCAGTCAGTTGAAGAATAAATGTATATTCACCACTGCAAAAGCAAAATGCTGCAATGATTCTTGATTATTGCAAAATCAATCTATGTAGTAAAACTTTTGAATATTATGTATTAAGAACTGTTGAATTAAGAACTTTTAAATAGTTAAAATAAATATGGAAATGGAGGGTGGATATAACTATTGAGAGAGTACATTATTTAGATACCTTTAGGAAGAAACTATGTCCATTTTGGAGACAACAAAATTTTGTATGAAAAAATTTTTTAAATAATATAAGGCAGAATAATAAAGATTATGTTGTATTCTAATTCTAAACTTCTTAAACTTGTTTGGCTTGCTAACTGATATCACATTAAGCCAAATAACCTTTCAAAATAAAAAAACTATAAGTGAGTGCAGTAATCTGACATTTGCTTTTGAAAAAAAAATCAAGAAAATAGCTTCAAGCAGTCATGAAACTTCATTTTGAAGGATTGTGTCATCAGATACCAAGTATTTAAGTATAAGAGTTGAAGAAGAGATAAGTCTTTCCTTTAGTCAATTAATATCAGAGGGGAAGGAAAGCTTAATATCCTGGTGACAACGGCACCATTAGTTGGACTCTATATAGGCAGAGGTAATAGAACAAAACAAAACACAACCTCTGATCCTGAACCAACCTCAGATGAAGTGAGATTCTGTTTCGTATCATAGATTTTCAGTATTGAACCCCCAGAAGCATCCTAACATCTGATTTTGCTGAAAATTATTAGTCTTCCACCGTCATGTCAAACTTTTAAAAACTGACTATTTAAAAGTTAGCAATAAAATTGTACTAATCATTAAATTTTTCATAAAAATTTCAGGCTTATTTTTGTACCCCAGAAATTTATTCCATGATGGTGATACATGGCTCTGGCCTTAGATTCATCCAAATACCAGTCCTAATACTCAGTGAGGGGTCACTTCGCTCCAGGGTGTATTTGATGCTAAGGACGCCCTCAGACTGTAGGATGGGGCAGGGCAGGGTCTGCTCTGCGCTAGTCTTGGGACTGCCTCACTGCATTCAAGCTGTTTCCTGCCTATAAAACAAAGACAACAATAACCATGCACCACAGGATTATCTGAAGGATTAAATCACAAGATGCATAAAAGATTCTCATTAAATGTGAACTTCTCATCTTCTGAAGATATTACAAGGTTGACGTTTTCCATCGGTTCACTGCTTGGGCTACCTGTAAAACTCGCTGTCATAGAGTCGATTCCAACACACAGCGACTCTATAGGACAGAGTAGAACTGCCCCATAGGGTTTCCAAGGCTGTAATCTTTACAAAATCAGACTGCCACATCTTTCTTCCACGGAGTGGCAGGTGAGTTCGAACCACGCTGACCTTTCAGTTAGCAGCTGAGTGTTTAACCACTGCGCCACCAGGGCTCCTTGCCTGGGCTACAGTAACGTGCAAATAATATTAACAATGGTAACATTACTGTTATTGTGTCTTTCCTTTAAGGATAAAGAACACAACCCACTGACGTCAAGCCGATTCCCACTCATAGCGACCCTATAGGACAGAGTAGAGCTGCCCCATAGCGTTTTCAAGAAGCAGCTGGTGGATTCAAACTGCCAACACTTTGGTAAGTAGCTGTAACTCTTAATCACTGCAGCACCAGGGCTCCATAAACACAAACTAAAAAAAAAAGTCAAGCCCATTGCCATCAAGTTGATTCCAACTCAATGATAAACACAAGTATCTGTTAATTGCCCTTCTTCTCAGCCTGGCTAGGTCCTCTTCACCATTTAGGACTCGGTTCTGGCCCCTGTCAATATATTCTATCTTTGCATTAACCACATTGCGATATATCTTTTTAAAAAGATCTATCTCTTCTATTAGATTGTAAGTTACCTAAAGCAGGGACTGGACTTTGTACATCTGTTCTCGACACCCCAGATGCATTTCCTGGCATATAGTAATTAATTAATTAATTTAATTAGTAAATTAAATAAGTAAATAATTAATTGCATACTGGAATGAATGAAGTTCCTGAGAGTCAGGTACTTGGCCAGACTATTACACATGCCCCATCCTCTGACCCCCGTGCACCCTCCTACCCATCAGTGTGGTCATGTTTATTAATGACTTAAAAAGCCATAAAAATAATAAGCAAAAACCGTATCTGAATATTATCTACCATTATATGTTTTCAGTATAAAACCACCTGAAACAGCGTGTTTGACAGGTGAAGCACAACGTCCTTTCTCCTTTATAATTCTAAAATGCAAGCCCCTATATGTCAATATCACTGTTTTTCACCCACTGGATTTTGAATCAATGTGGTTTTGGCATGACAGAAAACAGAAGGTAATGTGACACATATGGTTATGAGTATGGACTTGGGGAAAGGGGACCTTGTGTTTGATCATCAATTCTGCCTCTTACTGTCTCTATGCTTCATCTATAAAATGGTAATCATTAATGATTAAAAGAGATACTATCTATAAAACACTTGACACTGTCTGGTACATAGTAAGCTCTCAGATGAAATGGTAGTAAGTGTTCAGTTACACAGAACACATATGTTGTGCTTTTTAGAGGTGAAAGGGACCACTGCAATAACTTACTCCAAGCTGATGAGTAAACTGAGAGAGGCCTTGCTTGCTGGAGCCTTGTATGGAAAGGCAGAGGGAGAGAAGCTTTTCGGCAGCCCCATTCAAGCCTAATGACCACAGCAGTCTCGATCTCAGGAGACCAAGGACTGGGTCGAGGAGCATCACATTAGTTCTATCTACAACTCTGCACTGAACATCACAGGGAATCCGGGGTTCCCTGACCTGACTCTAACCACGAGCACAGAGTGAACCTGGCTTACCTCTTCTCCTTAATCAGGAGCTTGGAGATGAACTCCTGGGCCTCCTCTGAGACATCCCGAAATTCTTCATCCTCCAGGTCCCACCTACAGGCCAGGATGTTACTCAGTGTCTCTGTATCATTGTCACCCAGGAAAGGGGACAGACCACTAAGCCTAGAAGACAGAGGATCCAGGGTGAGTGTTTTAGACCACGTCCAAACCCGTGAAGAAGACAGGCTGCTTTTCTGGTTCTATTGTTTAAAAGTGAGAGGAGGAAAACCACCTAATAAGTAAGAATACTTTTATAATACATTATTCCAATCAAGAAAATGCTTACTCCCCTACCCTACCCCCAATCAAACCACCACAGCAATGGGGGCAGCAGTCACAGAGGAAGAGAAGCCTGAAGGAAAGGCACGGATTTCTCCTACAAGCAAAGTGCTGTCACACACAGATGACTAACGCCAGGCTCAACAGGACCCAGTTTTGTCTTTTTTTTAAAGGCTGCTTTAAGGTCTCAGGTGTTGCCCTAGGAGTTAAAGTGCTGAGTCCAGGGGACATAATTCACTGTCCTTGCGCCCAGGGGAACTCAGAGAGTCTAGAAAGTAGCCAAGTATGGTAAAATGTTACTTTTAAACATTTTTTATAGCGGTAAAATAAATACTACAAAACCTTTGCCATTTTAACCACTTTTTAGCGTACAATTCAGCGACATTAATTACATTCACCATGTTGTGCTGCCACCACCACTATGCATTTCCAAATGTTTTTCATCCTTCTATACAGAGACTCCGAATCCCTAGATGGTGCAAACAGTTAGAGTGCTCAGCTGCTAACCAAAAGGTTGGAGGTTTGAATCTACCCAGAGGCATCTCGAGAAAAAAAGACCTCGTGATCTCCTTCTGAAAGGTCACAGCCGTTGAAAACCCTACGGAGCACAGTTCTACTCTGACACACATGGGGTCACCAGGGGTGAGGATCCACCCAAAAGCAACTGGAAAACAGAAACTCAGTACCCCTTCAGCAGTAACTCCCATCTCCCCTCTCCTCAGCCCCTGTAAACACGAATAAACTGCGGTCTCTATGTATTTGCCTATTCTGGATATTTCATATAAGTGGGATCATACACTGTTTGTCCTTTTGTATCTGATTTATTTCACTCAGCATAATGTTTTCAAAATCCATCCGTTTTGTAGCACATGGTGGGGTAGTAGTTAAAGTGCTTGGCTGCTAACCGAGAGGTCGGCGGTTCGAATTCACCAGTCACTCTGTGGGAGAAAGATGTGGCAGGCTGCTTCTGTAAAGATTTCAGCCTTGGAAACCCTATGGGGCAGTTCTACTCCGTCCAGTGGCATCACCAGTGTTGGTGTCACCCAGCGTAGTAAATCGTGATGTCATCCCCCCCACACTAATTACTACAATATTATAGCTAAAACACCAGAAATTTTGACAAAGTCAGTGACTATGAAACACTGGCAGCAATGAAAACAGCGCATGCTTGTAGCATGTGCAGATCAAATCACGTGACTCGAAGCATCATTGTAATTGGGTAATAATGACAGCTCTAACTGGAGTGCATTAGAAGGTTCAAAAAATAAATTAGCATAGAGTTCTAGCCTTGTCCGTATATCGATACATGTAAGCCGGGCTTACAAAAAAAATTTCTGTTGTTATAACTAACCACAGGGATATTTTCATTAGAAAATAATAAAATTCTACTGAAACACTGCACAGAAATTTTATAGTCATTTTGGTGTCACCTCCTCAGACAGTGTCACCCGGTGCAGTCCGCATCTCCCTAGTGACACCACTAACTCTGTCCTACAGTGTCACTGGAGAGCCCTGGTGGCACAGTGGTTAAGAGCTCAGCTGCTAACCAAAAGTTCAAATCCACCAGCTGCTCCCTGGTAACTCAATGGGGCAGTTCTACTCTGGTGGCTATTGAGTCGGCATCAACTAGACAGCAACGGTTTTGTTTTTGTTTTTGTTGGTTTTTTTATAGTGTCACTATGAGTCAGAATCGACTTGACGTCAGCGGGTTTGGTTTTGGTAGCATGTATCAAGACTTCATTTCTCTTTATGTCTGAATAATATTCCAGAGATATGCCACATTTTGTTTATCCATTCATTGTTGATGGACACTTGGGCTGTTTCCACAATGTTACTTATTTTTAAAAGACCTAAGTTAGTGCTTTTATTCAAAATGGCCAATCCTCACAGGAGACTCGTGGGTTTGAGAACAAAGGTCAGACGGAGAGGAGCTCTCTTACAGCATGTAGGCGATGACTCCTACGCTCCACATGTCAGTAGGGAAGGAGACAAAGTCATAGTTCACAACTTCAGGGGCAAGGAATTCTGGGGTGCCAAAGTTCACCCTCAGCTTCTCTCTGAGTTTGTATCTGAAATTTAAGAGAACATGGAGGAATAAAAAAAAATTAAAAATCTTGAAAATTGAAAAGATGTAGTCTGTAAGACAAATTAACTTTAGCTCTACAGTGAACTTAAAATAAATAGACCTTAAAGGAAATTACATATTTAAAGGGACAGTGTCAAAAACTTGTAAAGAAATTCCAGGGGTTTTAAGAGTCAAAATTCATAATGTAAAACCTTAACAATCAAACAGGGGAAAGGTTGGTCAGAATAATTCGAACATCTGAATTATAGAAGACATTCAAAGGAAAGCTGATACAGTCACTGGCATGGAGGTGGCTGGAATAAGCCTATATCAAGGAATAAACAAACGCTGCCGTAACTTACAACAGCCATTTCATATGCCTCATTAATGGCCCAAATTCCACGAAAACTCTTTGTTCCCTTAAGAAGCTTATTTGTGCTAGAAACTTCTGCATTCTTGTTTACACTATTAATTTTTAAAAAATAAATCTCTATACAGATGGGAGCAATATGAAAGACTAAGTAAGACAGGAGAAAAATGTAGAACAAAATTCTAACTCACACAAAAAAATTAAAAAGACCAGACTTACTGGTCTGACAGAGACTGGAGAAACCCTGAGAGTATGTCTCCTGGACATCCTTTCAGCTGAGTAATGAAGTCACTTCTGAGGTTCACCCTTCAGCCAAAGATTAGACAGGCCCGTAAAACAAAATGAAACTAAAGGGGCACGCCAGCCCAGGGGCAAGGACCACAAGGTAGGAGGGGACAGGAAAGCTGATAATAGAGAACCCAAGGTCGAGAAGGGGGAATGTTGACATGTCGTGGGGTTGGTAACCAATGTCACAAAACAATATGTGTACTAATTGCTTAATGAGAAGCTAGTTTCTTCTGTAAACCTTCATCTAAAGTACAATAATAAAAAGAAAAAAAAGACTAAGACAAACTCTTATAAATTCTAAATTAATGGCTCCTAGTTTAATAAATTTACTATATTAGGTTTTAATTTTCATATTTTTTCTTGCATATACTGTAAAAAGTTTTAAACATTCAAATCCCAAGTTTTACAATGTAAGACTGAGCATACTTTTTGCTAAATTAATTCTAAATGGGGACGTGGAATCAAGGGTTACATAAGATTTATCTTAGCAAAGAAAGAGCACCCGTCTGCCTTAACTCCATTCATATACTAGTGTACAAACAGACATACCTTCTGGCCAATCCAAAATCAATAATTTTTATTTGTTTAGTATTCCGATTCACACATAGGATATTCTCAGGCTGCAGGAGAAAGAGACACATTAGCAATGAAAACAACCATAGTTCACTCAAATTGTCCTTGAACCACAACTAAAAATACAATGGTGCTCAGAAAAACACATCAGGCTTTTCACATCGCAGCTGGCTTGTCTGTGTGGGTACTTTCTCCTTTCATTATGTGGTGGGTGAGGCTGTGGGGCCCCTGCCAGCCTTGCACTACCCTGCCTATCCCTCTCCCTGGCTCCGCAGTCCCCACAGTGTGCGAAGGAAGAAGGAAGGGAGAGCTCAGCGCTCTCCAGGTGACTAGTGGAGGCTGTCTCTACTTGACATCTGTCTCCTAGAATTATTAAGTATGAATTTTCCCTTTGTGGAGGAATATGTTTCCTGAGATTTATGGGTTCTAAGAGAAACAGCCTGACTCATTTAAACAGCCACTCTGAATATGCAATGTAATGTGAATGTTCCTGCCTGCTCAGTTTTCCCTTTGGGCATTGTCAATCGGGAAAGTTATATGTCAAAGGAAGGCTTTCCTCCCTTCTCATTCTTCATTCTGGGCAATTCCAAAGTTCTGCTGAGCTTGGTTTCAATACCTTAAACCTTTGATTGAGTACTCCCTTGAAGTCTGACTCTGGTAAGAATTTTTACCCACGGTCTTTAGGGTGAGGGGGGAGAAATGCAGATGGTAGCCCTACTGCTCCATGTTTATAGGATGTCTTACAAGTGCACCTACATCTGAGGAAAATAAGGAATCTGATTTAAAGTCAAAGTCATCAATACAAGGGAAATAAAGCTTAGAAGAGCCTAGACATCCCAAGTTCAAGCTCTAACTTGCCCTAAGAGCTGGGGGCATTAGCCTATTCCCCAATCCCTGGAATCCCATTTCCTAACCCCCTAGGTAGGATAATGCTGCCCGCCCCCTTCCTGTCTGAGTGGAAAAGAGGGTCAAGTGAGATAAGAAATTCAGAAGCACTTTGTGAAATGATGCATTGTCTCTTTATCAATATTCAGTAGTCCATTTGATTGGGCATGTTGTATTTGGCAGCCGTTTTCTAAAATATCTCTAAAACAGATTTCTGTGGGTAAAAGCTGTTTATAGAGAAGTGGGTGCTATGTAAGAAATTTGGTTTCATGCTTACATAACTGATCAATCATGTATAAAACTGTCCAATTATCAAAGAATACTATGGCATTAAAAAACATTTGTTTGAAAAATGTAAAGACACAGTTTTGAGGTACTTCAAAAAGGCATTTCTTTCTGATTTTGAAATTAAAGCATGTTCATTGAATAACATTTGCAAAGCACAGAAAAATGTAAAGGAGAACAATTTAAAATCACAGCCACTATTGTGTTTGGTCCTTTTCCTTCCATGGAGTCCCTAGGTGATACAGATGGTTAATACACTCTACTGCTAACTGAAAGCTTGTCAGTTTGAATCTACCCAGAGGTTCCTTGAAAGAAAGCCCTGGCAATCTATTTCCAAAAAAAACAGCCATTGAAAATCCTATGGAGCACAGTTCTACACTGACACACATGGGGTCACCATGAGTCAGAACTGACTCCACAGCAATTGGTTTGGGTTTTGGCTTTCCTTCCAAGGAAGCTTCTGAAAGAGATGAGCAGTCTTAGATGATCCACCCAGCTTTCACTTTTATTATTCTCTTTAAATGAAAACCATAACTGAAATTGTGCACTGCAAGTCCTCAATAAATGTCATGAAGCCACGTGTAGAGCCATTTGACTTGTGGTAGGTCAGCTTCTAGTTCCAGTTACCAATCAAATCCCTGTGGAAATACCAGCAGAGTATCTAAACTGAGTGACAATGCGTCATGAAAATATGCATCATCACGCTCAGTTCATAGCCAAGTGTTTCGCCAATGATTTCCAGCCTCTGACTTGGTCATTTTCTATGCTATTTCCTCCCGCCCTCATCCCACGCAGAGTGAATGGGAAAGGGAATGCGTAAATCAAGACAGCAAAGGAACCTGAGTAAGAGGAAGAGAGGCTCGTGGAAACCTAGTTAAGGAGACTAAAATTATTTAGCTCTGCAGTCCCTGGTGACTCACAATATATGGTGGGTTACATTTAAGAATATTTTATCTCACTGTCATGTTGTGCAAACTGGGAAGTAAGTTTGTGATGGGGCCACACGAAGAGATGCACTTGGTGATACTTAGCCCCCATCGTGGAGCTGATCAGGGTTATCGGGTCTGCATCTGTTATTGGTGGTAACGGGGACTATACACAACTCAATTCTAGGAACAGCAGAGAGAAAAAGAGAAACAGGGAAGGAGCAATCAGTAAGAGAAGATGGCAGGTGGCTCGGCTTCCTCAGTTCTCACATATGCTTCCTACCATTCCCAGTGTGCCACCCCAATCCCACCCCACAGCCTCTGTGCTCCTGAGCATTTCAGCACCCCACTTCTGGCTGCCCTGCATTCCCATTCTGCCAGCAGTTTCTACTCAGTGCTCTGTAAATCCCTAAATCCTGGAGCTTTCCTGAAGATTTCAGGAGAGTGATGGGGAATCTGGGTGAGCTGGAATGTCTGGCTATTGCTGTTGTTGTTAGGTGCCATCGCATCGATTTCAACTCATAGCGACCTCATGTGACAAGCAGAACTTCCCCCATAGGGTTTTCTAGGTTATAAACCTTACAGGAGCTGACCACCAGGTCATTCTCCCACACAGCCTCTGGGTAGGTTCGAAATATCAACCTTTCATTTAGCAGCCGAGCACTTAACCGTTGCACCACCAAGACTGCTTTTGTCATTGTTGTTTTAAACTGTTATTGAAACCATCCCCCATGTAGATTCCCTTAACACAGGCACATTATAAGACTCAGAGATGAAGACATGAAAATAGTAGGGGTGACAGAAGTTGGGAGTCAGTAGATGAGGATAAGAATCTAGATCTTTACTAATTCCTTGATATGTAGCTAGTGACAGTACCAATGTTCCCAGCTGGTACTTTGTAATGTGTGATGGTTCACTGACCAACTTGAGGAGAGGGACTGAGGAGGAGAGGAACAGAGCATGCCCCACCTTCAGGTCCAAATGGAGGATGTACATCTGGTGCATGTGCCTGATCCCCTCGCAGATCTGCTTGATGAACAGGATGGTATCGAGCTCAGTCAGATTGTAGTTTTCATCAATGATTCGGTCAAACAGCTCCCCTCCATCCACACTGCAGAGGGGAGAGGTGGAAGCCCTCAGTAGGATTCCTCTATGACCACATGGTTTTCTTGTTGCAACATGGTGTTTAAGCTTCTCTAACTTTTCCAAAAGATGTGTGCACGCTGTTCTTTCCCTACCTTCTTCACTGCCTCATTAGAGGATTCTGATATTGAAGGTCTTTATCTTACAAACCTTCAGTTTCACAAATGGGATGTCATAAAGTCCCTTTCATCCAGTGGCTATCATGTTTGAGGGCATTCACATCTGCCATTCTCTAATGTACACTGAAGATAAAGAGAACTACAGTAATCCAGTGAAGGGAAATTCCAAACACAGCTAACCCGGCTAGCCAGGTTCTCAACCCTTTAAGTCGTCAGATTAAATCCAGTGCTTAGAGGGGGTCAATGCTAGATACTTTATTATCCAGAATTTCTTATTGCACAATGATAAATAAACCCAAATGGAAAAAAAATTAACTAAATCACAATATTGATTCAGTTTTAATTAGAACTACTCATTTCTTATAATTGAGTAACCAGTTATATAAATTTTTTAATAAAAATGGCTTTAAATTGAAGCTTCTTAGCCCTAATTATCAGCATTTACTCTAAACTTTCTATTAGTGATGAGGTTGAAAATGAAATGCAGTTCACAAATCACTTTCCTCCAGGTTATCCAGAATCATATTTAAGGTTAATTTTTGACAGTATGGTTTAGATACAAAGCTAAATCTGCTTTTCCATTCCACCTGAAATAAATAAAATTACCTGTGGAAATGCATATTCATAAACAATTTCCTTTCTGAAGTTGGTGAGAGTGTCTAATTCATGCAGGACAGAATCAATGATGCACTAAATACGGCTCCAGCCACTTTTCAGGTAGAACGAAATGGCCATGAATGAGGTCTTTGGCAATGTGCTGAGCTTGGCAGGGGAAGGGAATAGGGGGCATCCATGGGAGGTAAGGAAGGGACACATACTACTCCATGACCAGGACCATGTCATTCTTAGACTCAAAGGCATCATAGAGCTGAATGAGATTCACGTGGTCCAGCTGGTTCATGATGCTGATTTCATTCTTCACTTCATCCTGTGAAGAAGGAAAGGGTTTTCAGTGTGGCGAAGCCTGAACAAAAAGGGAGAAAACCACCCGACACCATCCTCACCTTATCCTTGGTGCCTCTGGTCTTAATGATTTTAACTGCCAGTTTCAGACCCGTGGCTTTCTCTTCACACTTGTGAACCTGGCCAAAGCGGCCCCTGGGAAGAAAAGGAAGAGTGCAAGCGTGAGGTGTTGCATGGGCTTTGGGGCTACCATGTGTTTGGTGCACCGCTGCCACGGGCTTTCCTCTTTTGATGGTGAATGAGCAAACCTATTAGTGCACTTACTGTATCCAATAAGCTTCACATAGAGTGTTTTTCCAAGTGTGGTCTGTGGATCACTTGCATCAGAAACACGTGGGGTTTATTAAGAATGCAGATTTCTGGGCCCTACCCCAACCTACTAAGGTGAGATCCCAGAGGCTGCATTTTTATCAAGTTCCTTTGATGATTCATATGTACCCTAAAATTTGAGAACAACCTATGTAGATAATATAGTTTTCTGAATACTCTTGAATGTAATAAGTGAGGTTTTGCAAGCAGTTAAAAACTAGTTGCTGTAGAGTTGACTCCAACTCACAGCAACCTCGTGTGTATCAGAGTAGAGCTGTGTTTCATAGGACTTTCAGTGGCTGTTTTTATGGAAGTAGATTGCCAGGCCTTTTTCCAAAGCACCTCTGGTGGACTGGAACCTCCAACCTTTCAGTTAGCAGCCAAGCAAGTTAACTGTTTGTACCACCCAGGGACTCCCAAGCATATAAACAGATACATTAAATTATTTTTGGAAAATACTTATAAATAAGAGGTATAACAATACTGCATATAGGTAAATATAATAGAAAAATACATTGTACACAGTCACCAGTGCAGTTTTTGATGGTCTAGCTTGGATTTAAACCTATAAAAACTTTGTAAGACAGATTCTTACACATATAATCACACACAGAAACACACTCAAAACTGAGATGACTGAGGACTGAGCAATGTTTTGTTCCATTGTGCCTGGGGTCGCCATGAGCTGGGAACTGACTCGACGGCAGCAAACAACAACAACAGCAACGTATATACTGAGTACATTATGGCTGCCAGTTTTGAGTGGAGCCCAGAACAGGAGGTTGTTGTTTCCAAGGGCAGTACAATCTGCCTTGCCCCTTGGACCATCTGATCGAGAAGATCAATGGGGCCCATGATAACAGAAAGACGTTTTTAAGAAGCCTATGACAACCCTTGACCAGAAGAACAGCATAAACCCTAGGGATTGTCACAGAGCCATACCCTCATCTGCAAATAACTGTTCTTCTCTAGAGAAATAGTTCCAGGCTTGCCACCAAAATCCCTGGAGACCCAAACAAGCTGCCCAAGTAATGCGCAATCCTCATAGCTCCTCTGCTGTCTCTGAACCCCCTTTCTCCCTCAGCTCATCTTTGTAGTGTCACGGGGAGGCCCTCTGATCAGCGGCTGAGGAAGAACTCACTCAGATGGTGCCACTTGGCAGAGGGCAAAAGAAATAAAGAATGGGAAGAGGAGAAAGGGACTTCATAAATATCAGCTACACCCTAATGACCAATTGCACCACCATGAACTATAGTCACTGTTCATATTTTTTTTGCATTGGTAAGTAGGTTTTCAACATATTTATATATGTTTTCTGCTCTCCTTCTCCTATTTTACATAGAAATGCTGACGGTAGCAAACTTTACAATTTGGGTCTTAAGCAATGAGTTTATCATAGGGGATTGTGGCTGGAGCAGAAGATGAAAGAACATTCCCAGAAATAAATTCAGCCCCTGAGGGACTTTAATTTAGATGCCCCCAAATAAGTTCTTCAGTGATGAAAGCAATCAACTGAAACAGATAACAGTAAGTAATGCAGTAACACCATAAATGAAAAACAAGCAACAATGATGAAAAGATATACACATGCATCGAGAAACACACAGTATTCACTCATTTCCACGTTTTGTTTCTTGGTGTTTAAGCCAAGGCACCAGACAACTTCTAAACCTTCTAGTGACTCACTGGGTTTCTCTCATTTTCAGACATTACAACACGGGAAGGAAAGCAGATAATAAATTTGGAATTCAGTCACTGTCACCATATCAACCTCGCTGGCATTGGTGACAGTTTTAAGAAATGACTAAAATCTCTTAAATGTGTGCTTGTAATATATCTGGTTCTCAGGTCAAGACTGGCAAATATTTATGATATCCTTAGAATCTGTCTCTTCGAAAGCTCTCTTATTAAGATTGAGTATTACTTACCGGCCCAAAATTTCTGTCCTGCTCACGGTGTAAAAACTGTTGACTGTTGCTTGTTTGACTGTCACAATTCGATGATCAAATGGGGCAGGAGGAGCTGGGACATCCTCTAGAAGTGAGAGGGAGAAGTGTCATTTGTTAAGCAGTCAGACCTCTTTATGGCACCTAGCCCTGGGCCTCATTACAGAAATTTGCTCATGTAATCATAAAAATACAATGGGCCATATGTTTTATTCCTAGTGATTCAGGAATACAAGTTTTCCTTGCATACCGTCATCTGTGATTCATGAAGATGATACCTAACATCTTTGAGAAAGAATATTAGGACCACCAAACTATTCTTCATACCATCTTCAGGGATGCTTTTGCAAATATCAAAATAGTAAAAATCTCCAACCTCAGTATAGTCCAAATAGGTCATACTTCTAAACTTAAGACCACTTTAATTTAAATGTGAGAAATTGTTTGACCCATTAAAAAAAAAAAAACGCATCACCTGTATAGCCTGTTATTTTCATGAAAGTGAAGAGAAAAATAGAAAAATGTAAAGTTTCTTCACATCATTAAAATTTTTGATATTACGTATTACTTTCTGAAATATTTTGGGCTTTGTTTAAGACACTTTTAGTTCACAGAGATGGGTTTCTCTTGCCTGGAAATAAAACACCCAGTAAAGCTGGGTAAGTGTGTATTCTACAGCTATTAAATTGCTCCCACTTTCCACCTTCATCTTGAGCATTGAACTCTTGTCTACATCAGCATCATTTCTCAAATGTGCAGTTACTGGACAGCACTTCTCCCGGGGTTCTTCCTACTTTTCCATGACTGCAGCTGTGACAGCCTGTTTGCCACCAACCTGCTGGTTTCCAAATTTGTTCACTTGTTACGCATCTGTGTGCGCATACACTGAGGATACCAAGGGAGGCGAGGAGCTAGAAACTTGGCTTTCAAAAGTTCACATTGATTCAACACAGATTTCCTGAGCGCTTAGGTTGTGTGAGGCACTCTGGCAGATGTTAAAATCTGTAACAATCAGATAACATAAAACTATAGGAACCGAATTTTCCCATTTGACATAGACATTCACCTCTCACACCATAAATAAGCTGAAAAATGAAGAAAGTGGTCATGAGAGAGTTCTCTTGGTGGCATTCATCTTGTCAGATTTAAAAAAAAAAAGAGTGATTGAGTTAGGAGCACAAACGGCACCCATATGGCGTGATGAAATATTAGGCTAAGTGAAATGGTTGGTGTAAAGGTTTAAGAAGCTGTAAAAGACTGAAACAAAAGCCACACCCTACCCAGTAGGGCCTCCCGACCTTGCTCTTTGGAGGTCTGAATCCCACCGGGCTCCTGGGGCTTGCCTGCTGCACTTTCCTGGGCCTCTCCCGCTTCCTGAGTCTCTTTAAACGTGCTCTCTTCCCCTGCACCCACTACATCTTATTCTGCTGTTTTTATCGTCCTCGCTGATGAAGCGCTCCTGCGTCATTCTACGTTTGCTGCTGCCAGCGCACCCTGTCCGTTCTGCATTCTGGAAAAGGGTCCTATTGTAGAGTTTCCAGGGAGTCGAGAGGTAGGAATGGCCTTCGCCCCGCTGAAACACCTGGAAAATAGAATCCACTTGCAGCGCTCAAAGTGTCAAGGAGAAAGATTCAGCTGCTCAAATTCTTAGAAATAACGCTTCCTTAGAATGGCATTTGTGGGTGCGGACGTGTGTTTCGTGACAGAATTGAGTGTGTCAGCCTTCTGGAACCACGGAGGCGTGGCTTCCCGTCGACTTTAGGGAGGTGCGACGGGTGGAGGTGACTGGCAGGCATCCAGAGAGTCTCTCAAGTACCTCGTTGAGACCGTTTACAAAAGCAGACATTTTATGGTATAATACTTGACTAATTTTAACTTCGTTTTTTTTCACTCTCATTTATATTGAAGAGAGAAATGACGAAATGAAACCAAAACAAAAAAAGCACTCTGGATATTAACAGCAATGAGAGTCCATCTTTATTGATGAAAGAATTTACCTAGTTTCAGTTTTTCAGTAGCTCCTGACCTTACTAAGCACATCCTTACAGCGATGGATTTTCTCAGTTATTGTTTATAATTCTTGGAGAATTAGACTTCTCTAAGATTAGGTTTCAATATAGTATTTTCAAATAAAATAAGAATTATATCTTAAATCCTTAAAAAAGATCAAAGGTGTTTGGATACTATTTGTTCCAAATAGATACTGTGCTTCATCATAACCTAGAATAATTGATTTTGATTGGCTACAAAATTACCTGAATTTTTACATGAACCTTTCCAATTCAGGAAAAAAGTCATTCAGTAATCTACTTCTTACTCAATTCTCCCAATATTTGTTGGAAAATAGTCAATTTATCATGTATAACAGAGTAGGTACAGTTTTTAAGATACAGGTTTTTACAGATAAATCTGATTATTATTTCTTTTTT